ATTATTAGTACACAACTGAGAAGAACATAAACATATTACACATTGTCATAAATAATTTTTAAGCATAGCAAGTAAAATGATTTTAGAAATACTTCCATTAATTTGATGGATAGGATGTTTTTTCCCCAGTGAGTTCATATATTCACAGATGAATATTTCTTTTTGCTAGAATAAGACAGACTTCAGCATCAATTTTATTCATAGTTTTTTGCTTTACATAAAACATTCACTGAGAATACTTGTTTACACAAATAAGTAGATGGGAATGGAAGGTCTTTGGTTCTATCAGTGTTACTCAAATCTTTGAACTCCTACTGAATTATAAACCAAAAGTCATGTAGTGACTTACCATCTACATTTATTTCAAATAAATTTAAATTGACAATTTGAATAGGTCTTCCTTCAATTTTGTTGAAAGCAAGTTTGGAAACTGCCTGACCTGCAAAAGAACTATAATTAAGTCATTAACAATTATTCACTCTCTTTAACCCCAACACCAACATTTTGAATTGTGGTTATGTTAGTGCCCCCATAGGTTTTTATGCACCTTGAAGAAAAGTCATGAAAGTAAGATTTTAGATGGTTGAAGTGTATTTCTTTTTTCTTTTTTTTTTTTTAAGAAGTGGGAAAAAAGTGGGAAAAAAGGAGGTGGGAAAGGGGCCAAGGGGCATTCTCAGACAGATCCCTTTTAGTAAAATGTCCTTAGGGAAATGGAGGATTCTGGAAAAGAGTCCCTAAAAAGTATCCTTGCTTCTGCATCTTGAAAAATCTTTAGGAAAGTTCACATATTCCAGTTTGAAGAGCATTGTGCTAAGTTTCTGGACACATTGAGAGAATGCATTACTTTCAAAGAGACCTCAATAATAACAATTATAGAGAATAAAATACAAACGATAGTTGCCAGTTAGTCTACTGAGGCTCACAGGTATCCCATGTGTCTCAGAATAAGATGGCCCCATTAGGTTTCCAATGGCTGATTTTTGGGAAGTAGATGGCCAGGCCTTTCTTCTGAGGTGCCTCAGAGTAGACTTTTGGTTAGCAGCCAAGTGCACCACCCAGGGACTCTCAAGAGAATTCACGAGTTCCAAAATTTATCTCCATCTTCTTAAGTGCTTCAGTTCACTGCAATATAGATAGATAAAACCTAGCTTGGGACAGCTTTGTTGTTGTTGTTATGTGCCTTGGAGTCAGACCCAGTTCGTGGCAGTATCACTACAGAAGTAGATTGCCCAACCTTCCTTCCGAGGAGTGGCTGGTAGGTTTGAATCGCCAGCCTTCTGGTTAGCAGTCAAATGCCTTGGGCACTATGCTACCAGAGCTCCACTCCTTATTTTAGTCAGTGGAATTCAGTCAGTGGAATTCTTATAATCCCCGCAAGGGTTGAATTGGCTCCGGGTCAGAGAGGACCATAAAGTCCTCGTATTTTTTCCCCACCGAGGAACTCTGTAATTTTGTTGCTACAACCAAAGCTGAGCTAGGCAAGGATAAGAAAGCTTTTGGATTTTTGTTTTAATATGAAAATAATTACATCTACTCTTGGAGACCTGGCTTAATTAGACTAATCTGATTTTCCACAGAAATACATTTAAAAATACATTTTAGTGTAAAACTAACACTAAAATGTATTTCTCTGAGTTCTCTAATTATAGAGCAATCATACTTTTTCTTAACAGATACTAAAATCAAATGCTATAATGTTGGATGAGGTCATTGTGAATAGCTTGTTAAAAGACCTATTTTGAGGCACCACATGAATTTCAGTGAATATTATGCAGTGACAGAAAGCAACAGAGATAAAGTTTATTGCAGAAAAAAAAATTACAAATTGCTACTATAATTTATCTAAACAGAAGTTCTACAGGTTATTTCATAAGAAATGTTTACTGACCATAGCCTCCTGTTCTTTCACTCCCACCCACCTCAATTTCAGTCCCTTTCCTGGCGTCCCCTCTCTTGGCCACCACGTGTCTTCATTTTATTCCTCGGTAGCCTGAACTCTATGATACCTTCTGACAGATACTCTTACCTAGCACCCTCAATCCCCTTATTCCCTTGAACTTCTGCTTATCCATTCTGCCAAGTCCCAACCAAGAGTCAAAACAACCATCTGTTCTCTCTACTATTGTTTCTAGTGTTGCCAAGTACTGCTGGAGAAAATTGTATAAACTGCTAATTCATGCTATGACAGTTCACCAATTACCAAGCTCACCTTGCATGCTTGGCAAACTTTTCACTCTTCCCTACTTGGCTTCCTTTTCCACTGCTCACAATGCTAATCCAAATCTCAAGTCATCGCTCCCCCAAGGTTTCCTACCGTATCTCCTCAATCAGTACATGACCTAACTTTCTACTTCAGGAGAAAATAAGTGCTCAACATGTCTTCCTTGTACTTCTAACATTGTCTGTAGCTTCACTCTTATTTTCCTTCTGCCTCAGAGTCCATCAATTATCCCCTCAATGCTGCTTTTTAATTTGTAAGCCCTTCATTTTAAAGTCTGTATATATTATTATGAGGTAAATATTCTCCTCAGAAGTCTTATTGCATGTTGAAGAAATGAGCATTGGAATGTTGGGAAATAAAAGGTGCTGATTGGCTATAGAAAAGAGGACCTCAGAATAGCAAGTGTTCTTCTGCTTTCAATTATTCTCAAGCAAGGACAGGAAGGTGAGTTGGGATGCTGCCTGCCCATCAAATGTTTTAAAATTCTAACATAGTTCTGCCGACTAAATGTCACAAATGAAATTTAAAGTGGCTACTCGTTAGTGATCGATGCCATTTTTGTCCTCTACTATTTGCGATCATCTGCTACATCCATAGTCTAAGAAGCTTCTCATAACAAAGGAATGTCTGTCCTTTTCACTCTAAGGAGCTTGCTCACCCTCATTCCATCCAGACTCTATGGGAACTCTTCGGGTAGCCAGTGTGAATTATATGATGTTTCACTTGATATGGCTATTCTAATTTAATGTCATATTACATACATATCACACAAAGCCTACAAGTAACACATGTATGCTTAAAAAAATTTATTTTCAGAGACTGCCTAAAGAGAAGTTTTGATGTAGAGGATACTTAAGAAAGATACATATCCTAGCTAACCAAGAGCAGATCCAATTTTTGGGACCCTGAGGTATATATATATATAATTTGAGAAGTCCTCTTTCCAAAACCATATAAAATTATGAATACAACATGAGATACAAGGTGTTTGGAAGAGGTCTGTGCAAATGAAGGGCTCTGAAGCGTAAACTTCATGAAAAAAAAAAAAAAAAGCCCACTACCATTGAGTTAGTTCCAACACATAGCCCCCCCCCGCCCCCGTAGGGTTTCCAAGGCTGTGTAAATCTTTACAGAACCAGACTGCCTTGTCTTTTTCCTCCACAGAATGGCTGGTGGGTTCTAACCAACAACATTTTTTGGTTAACAGCCCAATGCCTTAACCACAGCGCCACCAGAGCTCCTTTAAGCATCATCAGTGTCACATAATTCAGCTTTTTGGTATCTGACTGGTAACTTCAGGCATTAACTCCTAACCAAACCAAAACCAACCAAACCACCATCCATGAAAATGTAAACATTTCACATGCACCAAGCACTTTACATAATATTATAATTAATGCTCACAACAAATGTATTAGGTCAGTATTATCATTCTTATTTTATAAAAGTGGAAACTGACCAGGAGACACAGGGAGGAAGTGGGATGACTGATGTTACATTGTAGGAAGTGCAATCAATGTTATGAAACAAAATGTATATGGAGTGTTGAAAGGAACAGATTTTCGCTGTAAATCTTCACCCAAATCACAATAAAAAGTTTAAAAAAAAAAAAGTGGAAATGAGGTCAGATAATTTACTAATTTGCTCACAGTCAGGCTAGTGGTAGGTAGTAAAGATGAGATCGAAGCCAAGGTTTGATAAACTAAATATTGTGTTATTTGTACTACCGTAGTCTGCTTTTATGTATTTCCAAAAAGGTAAAGGGTCTGTTACTTTGGGGAATGCCCCTAGAAATGCCTGGATATTCCCAGTTAATAATTGAAACTAAGAAGAAAAATTCACCTTTGAGACATTCACTAAAAGTGCTACCCCAAAATTATGTTGAAAGGGCACGAAGAAACAAATAGATAACTAATCTGGGTTATCTTCTGCTCAGTAAGTGAAATAGACAAAGACAGGGAATCCTGGAGTCCAGGAGACATGGGGTTGGAGTAATGAAAGGAAAATGGAAGCAGAAGAAGAATCCGGGGTGAGCTTTCCAGGAAAGAGCTGTAGAGGACATACTGACAGCACGGATCTTTCAGAAATGATGGCCTCTCATCAAATGTTCGTTATTCTTCTACTTTGTTGTGATATGCTAAGTTTTAAAGACAGAAAAATCATGGAAATCGACTCATACATTATACTACTCAATATTATATCCATCCATACACTGTATTTTCAGTTTGGCCTCTACTTTTTAAAAAAATGTCTCTAAATGGTGCCCCCACTTCTCCTAAGGCCCCCAAAAGGTAGGTAGGTGCTTTATCTTTACCTTTTCCTCACAGAATCCAACTCTGTGCCCTACATTAAGTAGGCACTTGAGGGAGGTTTGTTGCCAAGGAAGATGGTATTGATGAGTTATTTTCGACAGGCTATCATTAACACCATAGGAATTCCATAATGTAGATGTGCTGTAATTTATTTCCCCACAAATTCAATCAAAGACTTTGGAATAAACTCTTTTGCCATTCGATCAAAGCTAAGGCAAGAACTGATCAGATGTAGTTAGTGTAATTTTCAGTCAATAAGCTGCCAGTGACATTGGGGCTACTTAAAAGACCTGTTGATTTTGTGGTCTTAGGGCCATTGTGACCTCAAGCTGTAGCTAAAATCAGTCCAATGCATCAGGGGTTTCAAGAACAGCAGCACAAAAATGATGACTTAACTAGACAGGAAAAGAAGGCACATATATTTTAAGAAGACCTCTTTATTCTTAAAGTAGAAGTTTCCCTTCAAGATGATGAATGGTGCAAACTTTTTCGGATCACACTTGCCCTCAAAAACTAGGTGAGTCATTGATGGGAGATGCAAAATGATAACTATTGAGAAGGGAGAAGAGGGTCTCTACCTATTAATTCAGGCTAAGGCTAGCATTAATGGTATCTCTTCCCACAGAAGTTCTAAAGTAGATGACAACTACTTAAAGGAATTGAACGAAGATTTAAAGCTAAGGAAGCAGGAATTGGTAGAGATGTTAAAACCCCTAGAAAATAAGAACAACCTCTTATTCCAGAAGTTAATGTTCAACTTGGAGGAAAAACAAAGAAGGTAATGGCTACCTACCTGGGAATTCCTAGAGGATGAAAGATTGGAGAATCTCAATCTCCAAAGGATTGGCAATGATTATTTACATCTGTTTAAGGGGGGGAAAATGTTTTGGAAATTCAGCTGTAGTAGGTAATGAATTTGTAACCAAAAAGTCAAGTTGGCAAGGAATTCTTTATTTTCTCTTAGTAAAACTAAATATGATTCTGAATTCTTATCCTACAGTGTTATAGTCAAACTATTCCTCTGTAGAGTGACCACCCAGAAAAAAGAGAAATGGTCTTTCTTTAATCTTCAGTTCATCATAGTCATACTGATTAGCTTCCTTGTTCATGTCTGCAGAATAGCTTCAGGGTAGATGATTCCACCCTCTGCATGCCAACCTGTGGCATGGCAATCTTTTCTGAGTCTTGCAGCCCTCTGGATTAGGGTCTGACTTCCCTAAATATACCAGACAGCTAAGGCCTTGACTTTTCACTAGGGCATTCACTGTTCTTGGGACCTACCAACTGTATGTTTCCTTAATAGTCTCAGGGCATCTCCCCTCAATGAATCTACTTCCATACTCTACCCTTATCATAAGTATCTCAAGGAACTCAGACTTTTGAAGAACAAAAGCCAGGCAAGAGGTTGTGGTCAACGACCAGCTGCTTTGTAACCTAGCAACACAGACTTCTCTCAAGGCAAGAGAACATAAAGACCTGGTTCTCTGCTTAGAACTGGGAAAACGTACAAGGAACAAAACCATAAATTAATCTTAAAAAAAAAAAAAAATTATCTTCTCTCACAGTCCAAGACTTGAGTACTGATTCAGATTTTGTGAGAAACTTCCTAATAGCTTGAGTTCTCTGAGGACTACCAGAAGCATATAAGTGGCCTCCCCAGCAAGCTACCTTGATATGAAGAAGCAAGGAATAGGGGCAGGTAGGTAGAGATGGAGATAAGGAATAATTCTAGAATGTAGCTTGAAGACAGCCCTTTCTTTTACCTTTTTTTCTTTCCAAAAGAGGAAGAACCATCCCTTTTTTCTCCAAACGTCTTACACTGAAACATTCTCTTTTCTGAGGAGTCAAAGAGAAGACCTAGATGTTAGACACATAAGTTTTGAACATTATAGAGCACAGAACTCTTTATAGAGGACATAGATAAAAACAAATGTCCATTAGGAATGGAATCATCCAAGTTACAGAGACTTTCTATGCCCAGAGAGACTTCCATAACTCCTGGGATATCAGCCCCTATCTAAAACCCATGTCCCGTGTTAGAGTACTTTCTGACTGGTTGCAGATTATTAATATTGACTTTTTGAAAGCCTGCATGTTTGATGATGTCTCTCTTCCTTCTAGTCTGCAGATCATGAGGCAAATCATGGCAGGAAAAGAGGCTGATGAATCCTCAGTAGTAGAGCTCATCAGAGAAGCAGAAGAGATGAAGCAGAACCTAGTAAGTTGTTGGTGGACATTCCAGGGAACAGCATCCTGAACAGAGCTCATTGCTGTTAAATGTAGAAGGCAAGGCCCATCTCTAGCATCTAATGCTATAACACCCCTATCTCCTTAATCTAGAAAACTCAGAGTGATCCAAAGGAAGTCAGATAGAATGTTGGGAAGAACAAAGGACTAGCTAGCAATATTTCTTTGACTATTTCTAACCTTTTCTCTGGGGGATAATGAACACAAGAATTTAACTCTTCACATTTCAGAAAGCATTAAAAATACCTATCAAAATAAAAGAAGTAGTTTGAGAGATTCTTAAATTTTAAATTAACAATGTAAAGATCTGAAAAATTAGAAATTAGTGGTCTGAAGCCCAGAGAATTTGCCATATGACAAATACATATTAAGTGTTTTAAGTCTGAGGAATTAGTTTCTATTGGTATCATGCCACAATTACCATAATTAAAACTACTATTCAAAAAAACCTTTTTTTTTCTTTTTAATTAAAAAGTTCATCTTTCATGCTCTTTCTTAGATTTGGGTCTAGGCCTACTCATTGCCGTCCTCTGTGGTTTACCATGTCCCTGTAGCACTTTTACCCCACTACTTACTAATTTCTTCTAATCCCACTTTAATTTCTGTTTTTTGTTTTTCCCCACTCTCCTCCAAAAGGAAAAGAAAAACAAGATGCTTCGGAAGGAAATGGAGATGCTTTGGAACAAGGTATGCCTCCAAGGATGTCCTGAAAATATTGTCCTATAGACCATAATGCAAAGAACCTCCCTTTCCTCTGGTCCTCACCCTTATTTGTTCCTGTACCTGCTTCCATCTGTGCCTAATTCCAATCCATTCTTTGTACAGCAGCCAAAATGGTCCTTTTAAAACAATCAAGTCATGTTACTCTTCTAATGCAAACCCTTACAGCTGTTGCTTATTGTGGCATGATCTGGCTCTTATCCACCTCTCCAGCATCCTCTCATGACAGTCCCGCTCTTGCTTTCTATGCTACAACCATACTGACCTCCTTTTGGTGTTTCATACATGCCATTCTATCTCAAGGCCACTAATCCTGCTTTACCTTGCCCCTATAATGCTATTTTCTCATGGCTGGCTCATTCTCATCTTTCATGTCTCAGCTTAAATATCACCTTCTCAGAGAGGCCCCTATTGTTCACTTGATCTGAAGTAGGCAACCCCCATTCTACTTTCTATTACACAATTCTGTTCATGTCACCCATAGCACTTTTCATAATATATGCTTGTTATTACTTGTATATTATCACTATTATTATTTTCACTTGTTTGTTGTCCCTCCCCTTAACACACACACCCCAGAATATAATCTCCAGTGATCTTGGTTTCTTTGCTCATCTTTGATTCCCTAGCACCTAGCATAATGCTAGGAATTCCCTGGGTGATTGCTGTTGTTGTTGTCAGGTGCCGTTGAGGCATCTCTGACTCATAGCAACCCTATGTACATTAGAATGAAACACTGACCAGTCCTGTGCCAGCCTCATGATCCCTGCTATACCTGAGCCCATTGTTGTAGCCACTGTGTCAATCCATCTTGTTGAGGGCCTTCCCCTTTTTTGTTGACCTTCCACTTTACCAAGCATGATATCCTTCTATAGGGAATGGTCCCTTCTGACAACATGACCAAAGTAGGTGAGAAAAAGGCTGGCCATTCTTGCTTCCAAGGAGCATTTTGGCTGCACTTTTTCCAGGACAGATTTGTTAGTTCTTTTAGCAGTCCATGGTACTTTCAGCATTCTTTGCCAACACCACAACTCAAAATCATCAACTCTTCTTTGGTCCTCCTTATTCACTGTCCAGTTCTCACATGCATGTGAGGCAACTGAAAATACCATGGCTTGTGTCAGGCATACCTTAGCCTTCAAGGAGACATCTTTGCTCTTCAGCACTTAAAAGAGGTCTTTTGCAGCTGACTTGCCCAGTGCTATACATCGTCTGATGTCCTGACTGCTGCCTCCATTGGTGTTGATCATAAAACCAAGCAATATGAAGTCTTTGACAACTTCAATCTTTTCTCTATTCATCATGATGCTGCTTATTGGTCCAGTTGTGAGTTTTGTTTTCTTTATATTAAGAGGTAATCCATACCACAGACTATAGTCTTCAATCTTCATCAGTAAGTGCTTCAAATTATCCTCACTTTCAGCAAGCAAAGTTGTGTCATCAGTATATCGCAGGTTGTTAATGAGTCTTCCTCCAATCCTGATGCCACGTTCTTCATATAGTCCAACTTCTTGAATTTTTTGCTCAGTGTACAGATTGAATAAGTATGGTGAAAGGATACAACCCTGACATACTCCCATCCTGATTTTAAACCAGGCAGTGCTCCTTGCTCTGTTCGAAAGACAGCCTCCTAATCTATGTACAGGTTCCTCATGAGTACAATTAAGTGTTCTGAAATTCCCATTCTTCTCAATGTTATCCGTAATTTGTTAAGATCCACACAGTCTAATGCTTTTGCATAATCAATAAAACATAAGTAAACATCTTTCTGGTATTCTTTGTTTTGAGCCAAGATCCATCTGACATCAGCAATAATATCCCTTGTTCTACATCCTCTTCTGAATCCATCTTGCATTTCTGAAAGTTCTCTGTCAATATACTGCTGCAACACTTTTTGAATTATCTTCAGTAAGATTTTACTTGCATGTGATATTAATGATATTGTTCAATAATTTCCACATTCTGTGGGATCACCTTTCTTTGGAATGGGTACAAATATGGATCTCTTCCAGTTATTTGGCCGGGTAGCTGTCTTCCAAATCTCATAGATGAGTGAGTGCCTGCAGTGGGGCATCCATTTGTTGAAACATTTCAATGGGTATTCTATCAATTCTTGAAGCTTTTTTTTTTTTTTTTTTTTGCTACTTCCTTCAGTGCAGGCTTGACTTCTTCCTTAAGTACCTTTGGTTCTTGATCATATGCTAGCTCCTGAAATGGATGAATGTCAACCAATTCTTTTTGGTACAATGACTGTGTATTTCTTCCATCTTCTTTTGATGTTTCCTGCATCATGCAATATTTTGCCCATAGAGTCTTTCAATATTGCAACTCAAGCCTTAAATTTTTTCTTAAGCTCTTTCAGCTTGAGAAATGCCGAGTGTGTTCTTCCCTTTTGGTATTCTAACTCCAGGTCTTTACACATTTCATTATAATTGACTTTGTCTTCTCAAGCTGCTCTTTGAAATCTTCTGTTCAGCTCTTTTATCTTGTCATTCCTTCCATTTGCTTTAACTACTCTCCATTCAGGGGCAAATTTCAGAGTCTCTTCTGACATCCACTTTGGTCTTTTCTTCCTTTCCTGTCTTCTTAATACCTTTTGCTTTCTTCATGGATGATGTTCTTGATGCCATCCCACAATTCCTCTGGTTTTTGGTCATTGGTGTTTAATTAATCGAATCTATTCTTTAGATGGTCTCTAAATTCAGGAGTGATATATTCAAGGTCATATTTTGGCTTTCATGAACTTGTTTTCATTGTCTTCAACTTGAACTTGAAATTGCATATGAGCAGATGATGGTCTGTTCCACAGTCAGCTCCTGGACTTATTTTGACTGAAGATATTGAGCTTTTCCATCAACTTTTGCCACAGATGTAGTCAATCTGATTCCTGTGTACTCCATCAGTGAAGTCCACGTGTATAGCCACTGTTTGTGTTGTTGAAAAAGGTATTTGCAATGAATAAGCCATTGGTCTTGCAAAATTCTATCATGGGATCTCCAGCATTATTTTTGTCACCAAGGCCTATTTTCCAACTACCATTGATTCTTCTTTGTTTCCAACTTTTGCATTCCAATCACCAGTGATAATCAGCACATTTGAATTGCATGTTTGGTCAATTTCAGACTGCAGAAGTTGGTAAAAAATTTTCAGTTTCCTCATCTTTGACTTTGGTGATTGGTGCATAAATTTGAATAATAGTAGTATTAACTGACTTTACTTGTAGGCGTATGGATATTATTCTATCACTGACTGCATTGTACTTCAGGATAGATCTTGAAACATTCTTTGTGATGATGAATGCTATGCTATTCCCCTTCAATTTGTCATTTCTGGCATAATAGATCATATGGTTGTCTGATTCAAAATGGCAAAACCAGTCCATTTCATCTCACCAATGCCTAGGATATCAATCTTTATGCATTCCATTTCATTTGTGACAACTTTCAATATTCCTAGATTCATACTTTGTACATTCCATGTTCTGATTATTAATGGATGTTTGCAGCTGTTTTTTTTTTCTCATTTTGAGTCATGCCGTATCAGCAAATGGAGGTCCTAAAAGCTCTAATTTATCCATATCATTAAGGTCAGTTCTACTATGATGAGGCAGCTTTTTCCCAGTCATATTTTGAGTGCCTTCCAAGCTGAGGGGCTTGTCTTCCAGGACTCTGTTGGGCAATGTTTCAGGGCTATTCATAAAGTGGTCCAGTAATACATCAAACAGTGTTTCACTGCTATTCATAAGGTTTTTCTTGGCCAATTCTTTGAGAAGTGGATGGTCTTTTCCTTCTTCTGAGTCTGTCTCAGTTTAGAAGCTCTGCTGAAACTGGTCCACCATGTGCAAGCCTGCTGGCATTTGAAATACCAGTGGCACAGCCTCCAGCCTCACAGCAATGCCTAAGACACCACAGTATGACAAACTGACAGACAAGTTTGTCTCCCTTAGCTGTTCCAAACTCCTCCACTCACTTCCTGGGCATTCCCTGGGTGGTACAAACAGTTAACGAGCATAGCTGCTAACCAAAAAGGTGGAAGTTGGATTTCACACAGGCACACCTCAGAAGAAAGGCATGGCAATCTATTTCTAAAAATCAGCCATTGAAAATCCTGTGGATCACAGTTCTACTCTAACATACATGGGGTTTCCAACTTCACAGCAACTGGTTTTAGTAAAAGGCTTGGTACATAGTTGTTGTTGTTGTTGTTATATGCCATCGAGTCGGCCCGACACATAGCGATCCCTCCTTGGGTTTCCGAGGCAGTATCACTACGGAAGTAGGATTGGCCAACCTTCCTTCCGAGGAGTGGCTGGTGGGTTTGAACTGCCAGCCTTCTGGTTAGCAGTCACGTGCCTTAGGCACTATGCTACCAGAGCGCCTTGGTACATAGTACATAAACAATAAAGTAAGTTGAGTGAGTGCATGAAAGAATATTTAATTCTAACCCCCCTGTAATTTTTCCACAAAAATGCATTGTTTAAGGAAAAAAATATTAGGGTCTTTTGCTGGTAAAACTGGAGGAATATGTCTTTGTGGCCTAAGCCCTTGGGATGGGAATTCTTTTTCACAGACTACACGACTGAAAAAGCAGATTATGTCTTATGATATAAACAAGTGTGTGGTGTGATCTCTGACTGCTTTTTTTATCTCACCTTTCCACAAATAAACAGCATATCATTGAGCCCTGCATTTTATACTGAGATCTGCTCCCTTAGTTTTCAGCAGCAGTTACAAACCAGCTCCATTAATTGCCAGATATTTTAGCTCGAGTTCTTGAGTTCTTGTGATAAGAAATGTTCCAGAACAATTCCTCTATCACAATCCAGCTTCTTCAGAGTTCCCAAAGACTTTATACAAGGGATGTCTTTATATATTAGCTTGTGATTGACTTCCTATATTAATATTTTTGAGAGAAATGGGGAAGAGCAGCATGCCTAGAGGTTAAGAACATAAGCTTTAGAGTCAGAGATCTGTCTCAAATCCCAGCTTTGCACTTTCCTAGCTGTGTGATCCTAAACAAATGACTTAGCCTCTCCAAGTCTTGGTTTTCTCATCTGAAAAGTGGAAATAAAAATAGTTCTTCAAAAAGCTGTAAGATTAAATGAGAATATCTGCAGTGTAATTAGAGATGTGTCTAGTATATAATGACTCAGTAAATAGTTTTTGTTATTATAAGGTACCCTCTAGGACTCATTTCATTCTGAACACCCTTGAGAAGTACACTTTTCATGTCAGGCTCTGAGAAATTCCTTACCAGCAGAAACCAAAAGCCTTGACCCGTATTGGTTTTCTACTTCTCTCAAATTACTAATTTAAGCTATGTCAAAATATCCCTCCACAGACATTTGAAACAGAAGAAACTGGTGATCAACAAAAAATACCACAGATAAAAAACAAGGCAGACTTGCAGGATGGAAAGGTAAGTGGACTACATGGACTTAGAATTTTAAGGCTGCTGATGCCACACAGTTGAAAACAGACTGTTGACAATCAAGGCTGGTTTGCATAGACAAATAAGTAAGATCTGAGTATATTACATTTACTATCTGCATGTCTCTCCTGGGACCTCATATTTCCTTAGGTCTCTTCTTTCATACCAGGCTTCCAAATCCCCCTCATCATATAGGAAGACCAGGACTGACCTAGAGATATCACAAACAGAGAAAGTGAAGGAGATAAGGGAGGCAGCATGATCTTCCTGAATGGTAGTGCCTTTTTCAGCTGATAGATTAGAAATCTTTAATGTAACAGTAATCTGCCTATCCTATGTTGTGCTCCTGAACCAATGCAAATTTTTGTAGGCAATCTGGTTCCCTTGGGATATTCTATTTGAGTCAGAGTGATATCACAAGTTTCTGGAAAGTCATGTTAACAAGGGCAGAGTGGGAGAAGCTGTTCTAATAATGATAACATTGCAATAGCTGTATGATGTCAGAACACTTACTAATTTATTTTTGAAAATTTATTTATAGGTATTATGCTTGTATGCAATCTTCTTATAACTAATTCTTTTACAGAAAATAACCCTATTCATTTAGCTTTTAGCTTTTGTAGAGTGGACTATATGGAACTAATTTTTAGTGAATAATTTTCCATAAGACATAAGATCTATAACAACGTAATATTGCTTAAGGATTTTTCAATATATTGAAAAAACTGATTTCTGATTTCAATTTGCTTTGTCACTCAGAGACTCTTTCTTCCACCAGGAAAAGCAACAGAGGAAAATGGAATGGGTCAGGTATCAGGAACAAGCCAACCTCCTTCAGGTACTGAGATCTTCCAAGGCTGAACATGGGATGCAATTTCATTCATGCAATATAAAGTTGAATGATTAGTTTTATTTCATGGGGTCCTTAACCTAAAAAAAAATTGAAGGAAAGCTGTGGTGATCTGAGCAATTTCATATTTCCTAAAAACAAGGACAGCCTTAGGCAGTGACAGCAGACTTTCTGGTTTTCAGCATTTTATTGCCAAACCCAACCCCTTCATTCTTGATTAACAATTGTCCTGCAATAAGAAATGCTTTATGTGGAGATGGCTGGAGGGACCTATCTGTGACTTCACCTTGAGTAACTTGGAACAAATAGTATTTCTTTCTGTGGTCTTAATTTTGTCCATTTGAGACGGGAACAGTCTCAGATACTTTCTGCTCAGCTTTTAAAGACTGAACATGATGGGATCATTTTTGTAACTTCTGAGTAAAACAAGATTCAGGTTAAGAGAGGATTTTGAGAAGTCACTACTATTTTTGAAAAATGTTCTCTTGCAGAATGACTTTCATGGAAAAGTGATTGAGCTGAGAATTGAAGCCTTGAAGAACTACCAGAAGGCCAATGACCTGAAATTATCACTGTACTTAGAGCAGAATTTTAAGCCAAAGCAAGCATTTTTAAATCTTCCTAGGTACCCAGGTAGGTAGAATAGCATAGGTGCACAGTTTGAGACTTTGTCTTGTTCTATTTTACTTCATTACTTGTAAAGTGGTCAGCACAATGCCTGGCACATGGTAAGTTAAGTGTTAATGCTATTATAATAAATTTCATCACTATCATGATAATTATTACTAGTCAGAAGGTCTTGTACCAAAGTGAGGATTCCTTCCAAGGGAAATTAAATTTTCCTTTATAAAGACTAGATAATATATATAATAAACTTAATGTATATAGATGATATATGGATTGTTGTTGTTGTTATTTGCCGTCGAGTCGGCCCTGACTCATAGCGACCCCTCCTTGGGTTTCCGAGGCAGTATCACTACGGAAGTAGGATTGCCCAACCTTCCTTCCGAGGAGTGGCTGGTGGATAGTACTAAATAAATTGTTAGCTCCTCCCACCCTCCTCCCACCCACTTCCCCTCTTGCCTAGGAATCAGTGATGTTTGATTTCACCAATCTTGTTGGAATAGACTCTGCTACTTCAAAGCAGAAGGTCAAGGAGATAGATGTCTGCTGTGGTTGTGAGGTCACCAATCCAAATATGCCTCTGGGAATTTTGGGGATTTCTCTCAAAGAATTTATGGCATCATTAGAGGAAATCATATGGTTTACCATAAGAAATAGGATAAAGGACTGGCTTTAAAAGGTAGGAGGAAAGGATTCTTAAAATCTCAGATATCTATGAATCTCAACTGTATTTTAAAAAAGAGGCGTACAATGAGAAATCATGGCCAACGAATGAAAATGTTCTATCAGTATCAGTATGTATGTTTCTATCTTCTTCTCAGTATTACTCAAGAGAGAACTTGAACAGCTTATAAAATCACACAGTACATAGGATTAATTAAATAGGTGAGTAAATCAAGGTAAAGTGAAAAGAACGGAAGCTTGGTAGATATATGAAAATGTATAATGGAAGTACTATACAGTTGACAGAGGTAGGCTACAAAGTTGGCTCAGAATTTCCTAGCAAAAAGAAACACAGATTTACAGTGTCCATGAAGTAATAACCAACCATTGCTCAGGAGAAACAGAATTTTTCCTGGTACTGAGACGTGAAAGAAATTTTCCTTCAAATCCTTTAAAGGGTTCAGGACACCGTATGTGTGACATAGAAGCCACTGTCCTCAACAATTTCTCTAAAATGAATTCATACCTAAATTTTCTAAGCTGTGTCTTACTTTATTCATTGGATTAGTGAATTGAAAATTCAAGAAAGTGTTGGATCAACTCAAGACTATTTGGTCTAAGTTCACAGCACTATGGCTTGATCTATAGGTAAAATTTAGAAAATCTAGAAGACTTGATGGACTACCTATTTTTCAGGCAATATTCCATACACACTTTTCTTTCAACTGATCTTTTGATAAGAATTGGACAGTAGAAAGCTTGAGATGATATTCAATAACAACCTGGAATGCATGAGAAGCAGTATAAAGTTATTATGGTACAAACAATGACAGAGGAAAGGAGGGTGATTTGAAGAAGACATCCCATTTTACTTTATTTGAAATTAATTGAAAGTCATTTCAAGGGACCCATACAATAAGGATCCAAATGTGTTTTAGATTAAAATCAAACCAACATTAGTAAATACTAAAGTGAAGGTTCCATTCAACTTGATCACCTCAGGAAGTTTTTGTTTTTTCCTTGCCTAAAAAACATTGAATTAACTTTGAACTGGGACAGCCCACAGACCAATACCCTCTTCTCCTCACTGGTTCTCATATACTTCTGGAGAACTAGTGACAGTCCATAAAGCTATTCATTTATCACAAATGAATGTAGCTACAGGCATCAGTGAACCATTGGTCTTGTGCTTTATTGATTATGTATTCACTGAACATTGATTATAGTCTAGTTTCTTTTTCTAACACAAATATACACAAAATCTTTGGGTTTGTTTGAATGTAAGTGAATCTGGTATCTAATGGGGTCCTAGATTTTGGTTGTGTTGACCTACTTATAATAAAACAAAACAAAACAAAAACTTTTCTTCAAAGAGGGATTTTTAAAATAATTAGGTTAAGAGGTTATTACCAACAGTGGTATGGTAGAGGGGTGGTTTGGTTAGGCTCGCTGTTTCCCAAACTTTACGTATTACTTGGACCATTGTTTATTGAATATTTTCTGCTTGGATTGACTTCTTCAATTTCTTAAATGACTTCTTTTAAAATAAAACTTATATGACTATTTTAAATAAAAACAACATAATTTTCTGTAATATAAGGTAAACAGTAAGTAGACAGAAAATAAATTTTAATGTTCTAGCTAGATGCTTAAACTTAAGCCCTGCTTAATCTTTATTAGGAACTGAGATTAGGAAGATTTAAAGAGTTTTAAAAAAAAAACTGGTACAAAATTGAAACCTTCTTCCTTATGCCATCAGGGTTTAAAGAACTGAAAAGGGAATGATTTTCTCACTGTTTGCTTGCATGGAGCAGTCCGGGGACAGGACACAGTCAGCTAGCCTGGGAGCAGTGGGAAGGCGGATGTTTGTGTCCATGGAACACCCT